ACTGTTGTGACATAATAACCTCGATGATAGTCAGGCCCCATGCTCTAATTTGGAGGCTTTATTACTTTTGCTATACAGATTTCTAATATAAGAAAAATGAATATGAAAAACAACAATTATTATGATTTTAATTTATTTAATCAAATGTCACTAGTGTGCTTTTTTTGGTTCCACTTTATTATTTTGTGTTTGAAATGTCCTACAATATTAAAGTCTGACAGTTCATGAATGCTTTTTTGCAAACAATTTCTTTTCATGGCATTTTTTTAAATTTTTAATTTTCTGATTAAATTGGACATATAAGCATAGTATTATTAAGTATAACTACCAATACATATATTCTACTGTATATTTATTTTTATTCACGCATAAAATGTATAAAAACTACGCCTAAAAGACCAGAGTTCAGTGAAAGAATAGTTATTTAATTGCCATTCCCATTGGCAATTTAATGCATTGGTGGTACATATCCTCCAGTGATTCATTGATATATTGATATATGTTGATATTTGAATTGGCATTAAGTAGCAGGATGTTTGCGTTAATGGTACAAAAATGATCACAGATATACAGCCAATGTTATTTTTGGTTTTAAGCTTAATAAGACTTTTACCAAAAATTAGTATTTATAAACTAATTGCATATCCAATAATATAATACATCAAAAATCAGCCGACATTTTCAATAAACGACATGACATATGTATATGCTGATGTTTAACAAATTCTGTTTTAACTTTTTATATACTTTTCATGAATTTTAAGTTTTGATTAAACTACTTCAAAGTTAAAGTTTTATAATTTACTGGCACTGACAATGTTACAAAAATTTTTTATTATTTAATTATACTTTTACCGATCATATCTAAGTACAGTATTAAAGACTTTACACTAGTCTAGTTTTTTGTATTGTATTTTGTATTATGGAATTGGTTCGACTTTCAGAGATTACTTAGAATATTTCTTCTAATAATTTTTAGTTTATTCTTATAAGTCGTTTACATTTAACGACTGGCTATTAATTTTCTAAATTTAAATAACGTTTCAAATCACTATTTTTTTTCTCTTTAAATTAAGTCACATAAAGTTTCCATAAGTAAAAACTGTTTTTAAGTATACATCTATTAATCAACATCATAAACTAATTGTATTACATCAACACTCTGCTGTGAAGGTCAACACAATTTTATTAAGGCGCGTATCCTTAATAAACAACATTGCATGTATACTTCAAGGATTAAACTAAGTTAATCATATGGATAAAATTTGAATTTACTTTTAAATTAATTTTAAAACAAGAAATCTCAAACAAGTAACCAAGTAAATTTTATAATTGACTTGTTTACATCAAATAAGAAGTCACAAAAACATTAAATTGAGTATAAAACAATCATTTCCTTCTCCATAATTCTTATCACTTAGAAAAGTTTGTAAATATTTGTGTGAATAATTAGAGAACAACTAACTGAAAAGCAGAGTATAATAAGATATATATTGCATGAATTAATTTGAATTAATCCATATTAGAGACAATGTCTCCGACATATTACAGTTGCAGTGACATATGCAACATATTATCCCTGATAAATTTAGTAATAAATTTATAATGAAGTTTTTCGAACAGTAATGAACTACAACAACAAAAATTAATTTCATATTATTTTAATTAATTGAAATTTTAGGTGACCATATAGCTGTTTCGAGAGTTTTGCCAAATACACATCATCATTGCTTTTGGAATTATTTCTTATATATTATTTTTCGTAAATAATTTTTTGAGACTGCAAGTACCAGCAATCGAACTCGTGTTTGCCAAATTTAAAGCTCAGAGTCAGCACACCTTAACCAACTGCAGAGGGAGAAAAAATCGTTGCATTTTTATGTTCACTATTTCTGAGATAAATGAAGTAGAATCTATGAAAAAGAGAGCCATATACGGAGTGTCTCAAAGCCTATGCCACCATCAGTATAAGTTTTGCATCTATTTATTTCTTTATCCCGTTTTTACACCGTAATAGTGTATTGTATGGTATAGTAGTGGTTATAGTTATCCTATGACTATCGCAATATTGCTATTTCATAATAATAGAACTGTTCCATCAGCGAATATAACTATGATGTTTTCTTATGTGGATGAAGTAGTTATATCAGCTTTGTATAAGAGACATAAAAGATATCTTAGGACATTGTCTTGCTATAAACCACGTTTCATTGTTTAAAATTGAGTGCATTCAGTATTCACTGCTGTAATTGAATATAAATTCATAGTAGTTTTTTAAAAGCTGATATATCAGTTTGTGCAACAATCTTTTATACCGTACGCTGTAAAATGTTTTTACATTATCTAAATACATATTTTTGTAAGCATGATTCTTTCAATTTCAGATGAAGTTTTTATTGCCACTTGGTGTATTTGTATAATTCTGCAATATTTTCGTCTAAATCCAAAATAATGAAACCAAGTTTCTTGACACATCTATTTTTAGCAAGTAATATGTAAGTAAGTAAGAAGTGGGATATATCAGGCATGATATGTCTTTAAATTGCGCGGTTTGGGTACAACAACTTTCCATGCGACTTTAAGTATGGCAGAATCAAAATTAGATGTCAAAATTCAGTATTCATTGAATTAGTAGAAATAATAAAATGAAATATATTTCTTAAATATTGTTTTCGAAG